TACACAACAATACTCATCACACATATAAAACCCCATCTTCGGATTTATCTTTCCCTCGCAAGCTTCACACCAATACGTCATGGTACTTGTCTCCTTCCCATAAGAAAGAGCGAGCATATGCTTATCATACTTATACCTCACCTTTTGAGGTAAAGTAGCACACTTGAAACACAAAGCGAAGTCAGAATCAATGCAGTTGAATGTTTCTGTGTATCATCATTATTGGCAAATCGAACATATTCTGGTCTCTCCTGGTTTGGATGTTAGGAATAAAGGACGCATATGGCTTTCATGATCTAATGGCTCAGAAATTGTGGCACACTGCACATGTACCTTAAATTACACCCTTCTTCACCGCACTCATAGAAGAAACCAGATGTGCACAACCAAGGACAAGCTGAACATGAAGTCTCATAGATCGTATCACCAGACTTAACTCTTATAAAACGGTCATATCCTGTCACTAGAGTAAGCAGATGTGGATGTATGGGGTGATGCATTCTGCGAGAAAGATTTGCACACGTTTCGTGTAGTATGAACTCACATTGAATACACGAGTAGTAGTTGCCGAAATAGATGGCGATGCATGCTTGACACTGCTTATTCTCATCGTAATCTCTGTCTTCATTCTCATCAAGTTTGAGATGATGTTCATGACTGAAATGTTGAATGATACCATCGCTTATCCTCACAAACGGCGGCTGTCTCTTCTTCTTCAATTTCTTCTGGCTCTCCTCTAGCTCTTTACCATCCCACACATTGCTTTGTGTGGCACATCTTGAATGAGCCGCGTACGAACAATACCATCCTTGATGCAAGAATAACCTCCGTAGTCATTGTTGATCTCTCTGCGACAAACACCACAAGACCAATTTCCTTGGTCAAAAGAAGGAGTAAAAGAGATTCGATGGGGATGGCGAGATATCCGGTATGACGATGGCAAGCTGAGACAGCTTTGATGGACCACAAAGTCACAAAGGAGACATATATAGAAAGGAGATTGAATCTGCCAAGGCACAGAGGTCGCAAGTTAAGGAAGCTTGTCTTGGAAAGTGAGCAAGTGTATGCTCATGCCACTTGGATGATCTATAGATACGAGTGATGGTTTCTCCACACAAGCTACATTCAGAACATAGTGCAGACCAAGCAACAATAAACTATCTCTTCGAGATCTCCATCACAGCAATAACATTTCTTTTTATCATGTTCACTCAGCAAGACAAGCTGAAGAGAATGTTTTGGATGAAGAGGGTGTTTGATCTCGAGTGGAGCCTTTTAAATGTTCCATGGTTCTCCCCAGAGCAACCAGCAGCGAAAATGGGTAGTTTCTTCCCCAGGCAAACTGATTTTTCCCAGAATGTAGGGAGACAATCCCTCCTTATTGCTCCCATGTACTTTTCCAGTCACATGAAATTTTCCTTGTTGAAAATCTACCTCTACTTGAGGGCATAAGGAAATAAGCTTCTGCCACTTTGAATCCATAGACATGGCGAGGGAGATATTTGATGGATGAGTGACATGAGCTCCGGCTCCGGCTCGAGATCCAGTATGCTCATTAACGAGTGAAAGGTCTCCATTCCAAATAAGTTGGATGTTTGAGATAATGAGTGATATGAGCTCGACAGTGGCTCATCCGAATCCAGATCCATAGAGTTGAAAAAGAGAGTTTGAGTAATGAGTGACATGAGCCTCGACTCCGGCTTCGGCTGTGAATCCAAATCCAGAGAACTGAGGAGAGAGATTACTTGGTTGGAGAGCGATAACAGATCTTGCCCCCATTGCACAAAGAGAAGTTGAGAAACAAGTGATATGAGCTTCGATTCCGGCTCCAACTCTGAATCCATGGAAATAAGAGGCTCCAGCTTCTCCTCCGGAGCTTCAACGAGAACGATTAATCTCCCTAAGCAGGTTATCAGCTCCGAACCTGGAGCCAAAGAAGGGAGATAATTGAATGCTTGAGTATAGAGTAACATGAGCTCCGGGCCTGGCTCATGATCGGAATCTATAGAGCTTAAGAGAGAGGTCAGTTCGGTCAAGAGTGATTTGAGCTCTGACTCCGGTTCCGTATCCGGTATTGATCTGACAAGAGAGATTGTTTGTTTAATGAGTGATATGAGCTCCGACTCCGGCTTCGGTTGCGAATCCAAATCCATAGAGTTGATGAGAGAGTAAATCCCTCTAATGACTGATTTGAACTCTGAGTCTGAAGACGTATCTTCCTCGAGATCGGTTAGTTGAGAAAGGAGTAATAAGAGCTTCGACTCCGGCTCCGAATCTGAAACCATAGAGTTGTCGAGAGAGATGATCTGAGTAACGAACGAGCGATTTTGAGAGATTTTTGAATATGATGGTGCGATTATATTGACATTTTTCTTTTCTTTTTTTCGGGCAAGCGGTATATATTCAAATAATTAAAACGAATAAAATAAGGAGACGATCTCAAGCTTACAGGCTGTCTTAACAAAAGTCTAACATCATTTTGTAATCATATATGTCGACATTACTTGAATTAGCATTCGAGTTTCCATACTAAAAGAAGAAATTAGCCTCACATTTCTTTGATGGGGCAAGGTTGGCCGACGCATCTTTGAAGTTTCTTCGGAAAAAAACAATACTCCATTTACTTCGTGCCCACGCTAACTTAAACCTAAAACTTGATGCTCCCCACGTAGCTGTGTTTATTGTCCTCCCGCAGTTTTTCTACTATTTTGTCCCCGTAGCTTTACCTTCCGGAATCCGGATCTTTGTTTTGTTGTATGTATAATTAAACATATTTAAAGCAGTACAATTTAGTGATTTACACGTTGGACGAACATTAAGTCAATTATCTTTTTATGTTTTTTTATTAATGAGGGTTAGTTAAGGTCGTCATATGCAATTGGCACATTTTCTTTAACAAAACAAGTTGGGTTAATTACAGTATTACACTCAACTTGGCAAAGAAACTGTCCTACAAAGATTTGAAAGAACCAGTTAAGTTTAGATCATAGCCGTTACTTACATCGTCTATTTCCAATGCCCGAGAGGGTTTTAGCCTATTTTTACAATCTCTCAACTTATTCACATCCTCCAATAAAAGAAAAAGTCAAAAACCACTTCAAGAAACAGAATGTGTAAGAAGATAGGCGGGGATGTCGTGACACACAAGTTAACAATCGTGAAACTAAGATCTTCTAGTGTGTTTATATATAAAGCAGGATGATGCAAGAACCTGAAGATAACGGCGAGGGTGAATGTGAAAGCTGGCGTGAGGGTGCTGATAGCAGAGGAAAGAGTAGGAGAAGTATACTCTATACCTTTACAGCCAGCTATCGTCGCCATGAACCTGTTCTCTCTAAGTTAGAAAAGATAAATCCATAAATGTGTGAGTAGATAGTATATACTTGAATTTTCATTACCCGAAAAGAGCAAGTAAGAAAATGTTGAAGAAGACAGGAGATTTAGCTGAAGGTAAATTTCTTGATCTGCACATGTAAAAAATAAACTCACATTCTTGAAAACAAAAATTTACACTGGTGAAAACAGATTGGTTGAGGAGATATGAAGAACCTTCCGAAGATAAGAGAAAGTGGAAGAAGGACAAGAGTAGAAACGGCGAACATGTAGAAGACAAAGACATAAAAGCTTAATCCTCTTAAGCTTGCAGCCTTGTACAATGTGTTTGACCCAACCGCGGTACACTCCACTACGATCATTGCACCAAATGGCAGAACGTCTCTGTTAAAGTACCTCCAAGCCACTGTCTCTCTCATGATATCCAGATTTGATATTCAGATTCTCACAACTTCTCTCAAGTTGAAAGTGAGTTTTAGAAGCAACCATAGTCTCAGTGACTAGACGACAACGTGCCAATAATGTCCCAACGTGACTAGTACTTCACACCACAGAGATCCTATCCTAATATTCTAGGGACCTCACCACAAATATAAAATTTTCCTATTATAGCTACAATACTTTCAGGTCAATCGTTCATTAGCACATTCTTCTCCAATGCATCAAATTCCATCACAAGGATCATCACCACAGCTCAAAGATTGACTTATTGCATTTCCTCTTGACCTTCCAGAGAAATCAACCCCAAAAATCTGCAATCTCAATCAGTATTAAGTAACCTAAAGCAATCGTACTACATAAATTAGCCCTTACTCTTCTGTAACTTCAAGTACTTAAGTGAAATCCAACAGTAAATGTCATCTAACAGACCATAAATAACCACTGACCATGGATACTTCCATAAACTAATGATAATGAACTTGTTTAACGGAGCAAGAAGCTCTGATATTTGGTGAGATAAAATAACAACAAATAAACGAACCTGATGAGAACACCAAACTGAGATATTTCGACTGGAAAATCCTGTTTTTTGAGGCCGGAGGTTTTGTTTTGAAAGAGAGATCGACAAGATGGTCAAATTTCTCTGGAGATGCGGTAGAAGATACATGGAGATAAGCTACTAAAATTTGAACGAGGAAGTATAATGAGCATCAGGGCCGGCCCTGGGGAGAGCCAGGTGAGTCATCTGCATCGCCATTACCCTTGTTCCTTAAGCTCGCTTACTTGCTTCTTGGCCACTCTCACACTCTGCTATAAGACTTAAGACTCAACATTGCGGTTCAGAATGGAACCGAAATAAACCGGAGTAACCGGACTCAGTCAATTGTATGGTGGAATATTTTGGAGCATTTGAGACGCGCTAAAAAGAGTTTCAGATTGAAAAAACGTCTTAAATCAAATATGTGCGGAAATATCTCATTACGTATCACTGTTTGACTAAGCAACGCAACAGAATAATAATTCAATAATATTTCTTACAACGATAGCAATCTCCATCAAGCTGTTTGGTCACCTTTATGGAATACCATGATACATACACTTTGTGGAACAAATTGTAAATACATAGCGCTGGAACAACGTTTTGTATGGACAACGCTTCTTACAACAAGAGCAAAAAGGACGAGACATATGTTGATTGTTGGGCACAACAACTACCTTTCTATTGTTGTATAACCACGATGCACCGGGCTTCATGTATAAGTCCTTTCCAATCAGACAACCAATGTGTAGGGTAACACAACAATACTTATCACACATATAAAACCGCTTATTCGGTTTTATTTTTCTCTCGCAGGCTTCACACCAATACGTCATGGTACTTGGCTCTTTCCTATAAGAAAGAGCGAGCGTATGCTTATCATGCTTATACCTCACCTTTTGAGGTAAAGTAGCACACCCAAAACACAAAGCAAAGTCGCACTCAATGCAGTTGAATGTTTCTGTGTAATCATCATCTTGGCAAATTGAACACTTTCTCTTCTCTCCTGGTTTGGATGTTAGGAATAAAGGATGCTCATGGCTTCCTTGATCTAATGGTTCAGAAATTGTAGCACACTGCACATGTACCTTAAAACAGCATCCTTCTTCACCGCACTCATAGAAGAAACCAGCTGTGCACAACCAAGGACAAGCTGAACATGAACTCTCATAGTTGGTGATATCCGTATCAGAGCTTATTTTTATAACACCGTCGTGTCTTGTCACTAGAGTAAGCAGGTGTGGATGTATAGGATGATTCATTTTGCGAGAAAGATTTGCACAAGTTTCGTGTAATATGAACTCACATTGCATACAAGAGTAATAGTTGCCGAAATATACCGGTGTGATGCATGCTTGACACTGCTTGTTCTCGTCATAATCACTGCCGGCATTCTCATCAAGTTTCAGATGATGATCTTCATGACTGAAATGTTGAATGATACCATCGCTTATCCTCACAAACGGCGGCATGACTTCTTCTTCAATTTCTTCAGGCTCTCCCTCTAGTTCTTTACCATCCCACACATTGCTCTGTGTGGCACATTTTGAATGAGCCGCATACGAACAATCATCCTTGATGCAAGAATAACCTCCGTAGTCGTTGTTGATCTCTCTGCGACAAACACCACAAGACCAATTTCCTTGGTCAAAAGAAGGAGTGAAAGAGATTCGATGGGGATGGCGAGATATCCGGATGACACGTGGTAAGCTGAGACAGCTTTGATGGACCACAAAGTCACAAAGGAGACATACATAGAAAGGAGAGCTTGAATTTGCCAAGGCACAGAGGTCGCAAGTCAAGGAAGCTTGTCTTGGAAAGTGAGTAAGTGTATGCTCATGCCACTTTGACTGGTCTATAGATAAGAGTGGTGGCTTCTCCACACAAGCTACACTCATAAGATGAGCGCAAACCAAGCAACAATAGAATATGTCTTTGAGACGTACACCACAGCAATAACACTTCATCTTTTTAGCATATTCCCTCCGCAAGACAAGTTGAAGAGAATGTTTTGGATGAAGAGTGTTTGATCTTGAGTGGAGCCTTTTCAAATGTTCCATGTTTCTCCCCATTGCAACCAACGCAGCGAAAATGGGTAGCTTCTTCCCCAGGTAAACTGAATTTTTTCCAGGACATAGGGAGACAATCCCTCCTTTTATTGCTCCCCTCTACTTTTCCAGTCACACGAAGTTTCCCTTCTTCGTAATCTACCTCTACTTGAGGGCATAAGGAAATAAGCTTCTGGCACTTTGAATCCATAGAGATGGCTAGGGAGAATATCTGATGGATGAGTGACATGAGCTCCGGCTCTGGCTCGAGATCCAATGTGGCATCAATAAGTAATACTAATGTCAAATCCCATGAGTTGGGTTTCTGAGAAAAGACTGATATATGGTATTAACAGTATTTATTATCATCAGTACTAAAATGATATAAACCTTTTTTAAAAAATATTAATATTTATGAGGATGCTGGCGTTCGATCACGAGATTGACGAAGAGAGACAAGGGACGTTAGACGTGATTATAAGATGAAATGAATAGAGACCATTTTGTGGTATGATTCACCACTATTATTGTTGTTATTTTATTCTAGAAACTCGATGTATCATAGTAGTATATGAAAAACTAAGGGCTACTGATGCAGTAGTAGATCACAAACTGGGATGGAGTTTTATCTACAAAGAAATATATTACTAAATTTTTTTTTAAGATAACTTATATACTTGACAATCACGATCTATTCACGATCTTTGTTGTTCCAGTAAATCTCATGTTTTCAGATCTATCCACGATCTTTGAACCTAAACCCAAATATGCTAAAACTCTCAAGTTTGTGATGCCGCTTCCCTGCAGCCAAGACTCTCTATTTATCTTCAATAGATGAGTTGTGAAACCCTACAAGATTTCGGCCTTAGTGATTACTCCAAATCTTCAAAGAAATATTCCTTTTGTCTTGTATATCTTTGGTACAAAATTATTCAGATAAACGAGGAAATAATTTTGTAAGAATTACATTGTAAAAACAATGGCTAATTCTAGAACTAGTAGAATATTCTTCGAGCAAAAAAAAAAAGAAGGAAAAACTCTCCACTAGCTAGTTCCAAAACGCACTCCAAGAGGGGATGAAGAGAAGAGACAAACACAACACAAAGATCAAAAGTGCTCCCCGATCACTCGATGGCCATTCGATTTTGTCGGAATTTTAATATTTAATTTACAAAGCCCAAAATGAGTGTTACCTTCATGTAAGCACCTATTGCAAAAATGGAGTTCAATATATGTACCTGCTTTATATCTACAACGTTGAACACGTTGGAACACAAATTAATACTGAAAGTTATAATTTACAAAATATTCATGCGAGTTTAATATTTTACTAAACTATGTTGCGTTAGATAACATGTGCTTTAGAAATTAAAAAAAATAGCAACGTTAAATCTCGGATGGTTATAGAAAATCTTTATAGATATATATTTGTATCAACAATGATTGCTTGATCTATTTCTGTATTATAATTAAGTTTATTCTTAGTATAAACTAACTAAAAATAAAAGAAGAATGGGAAAAGAGTATTCTAAAACAATTAAAAAGAGAGGAATAAAATGGGAGAATGAATATGAAAGAGATGGGGATAAAAGAAAACAGCTGGAGAGATGGTTTGTGCGTTTTAGAGACGAAAATGCATCGCAAATAGACAATAGTTGCTTTAATTTCAGTACCGCTTTTATTTTTCTCTTTAGTCGAACAAAAATTAATTTGATGATTTTGACAAATACTTATAGGCTTACTCTATCAGAAAGAAATCTGAAATTTTTATAGTATGTGACATTTGCGTGAATTTTTTTAATTGGCATATGTGAGAGACTTTTATGGAGGAACATGTTTGAAACCAAAAATTATTATGTCTTTGCTCGTTCAAAATGATAACAGGCCACTGACTGGATTCTCTTAGACTCTTAGTGTTGCACCACTATATAAGTTGTGTTGTTATTTTTGTTTATTTAATTATTTTCTCTGCATGTGTACTACTACTTTAGTATTTTGTGATTTCGTCATTCACATATACTAATTGAAACAACCAAGTTTTTTTAAAAATAAAAATAAAAATAAATACTAAACAATTTTAACGGAAGTCTTTATTATAAATTCAATAAATAATAAAATTAAATAACAGTATTCAGCGAAAGCAAATAACAATAATAAATCTAGCAACCTAAACACCATGTGATAGCAAGTTAAACAAAAGCAAATAAATAAAAACATCATATCATCCTTTTCTTCGACCTTGATTTCGCGATCACGAGAACATTTTACCTGCAACACATTGTGATAGAGTTGAGTAAGTATTTCATAAATACTTAGTCAGACGATCACTTTACCTACATGTCAATTACGTAATTTACCAGATAATTAAATAATATTAATAATCCTCAACAATTAATTAAATGTCATTTCTCAATTATTAAATAACTCTCTTAATTAAATAATATTTTTCCATAAAATAATTGATATAATTATTTGAAACCAATTAATTAATTAAATAATTCATAGTTAATTAAATCTGAATTAAACCAATTAACTAGATTCAAACCAGAAATCAATTCCATTAAACCAAAATTAAATCAATTTGAACCGGACAGAACCGGCTTGTATGAGCGACACCAGCTTGGTGTCGGTCGACACCGACCACTTTGTAAATCTCCAGAATCAACACTCACATAGCAAGAATAACTCAAATATCACATGAACTCATCAAGAACAACATCAATCAATCACAAATCTAGCAAGTTGCGAGCCTACAATCACTCACTCACCTTGACAATGGATTGAAACGAAGGAAAAAGGAAGAAACAGTGAAGAACAGCCACAAACAGATGCAGATTCGCCCAAGACGTCTCGAATCCGCCTAAAATCGCCTTCTTCTCTTCTCCAAACCCAAAAAACGACAAAACTCCTCTACAACTCGACGGATGCGTCTTTTAAAATGAAAACCAGGGTTTTCTTTGACCCTAACCGGCCCAAACCAACCGAAATCAAACCGGCCGATTTTTTCGATAATAACAAAGCTTCTTTGGTTTACGGATGTTACATTAATAAACAGTGATTCTAATATATAATATATGGTCCCATTGTCGTTTGATATATAGCATATTGTAGGAGATGTTACGTTAAATGCAATTGGTCATTGTATAACACCATTGTTCATTGTATTTTACTTACTTTTAAAGTTGTTTCATTATGATCTGTACCTTTCAGTTGTACCTGTTTTAAGTTGTGTATCATTGTTAGTTTGTCACCATTCATTTCGTTATAAACACAGCTCAAGACAGGATAAAAGAAGTGCAATACTAACATATTGTGAAAAAACGTGTAGATTGGTAATTAATGTAGTACGAATGGACAATCTCTTGGGATTTGGAAAATATTTTAAGTCAGTTTTTTTTCCTGCGTTTTTTTTTTGGGTCGTGCAACGGGAGACAAATGGCCGGTGCTCCGCGCCGTTGGCGGAACTCTGGGGTGTATACTACGGATTGTACATGGCGTGGGAGAAGAGATGTACAAGAGTAGTTCTGGAAGTTGATTCGGAGTTGATGGTAGGGTTTCTTCAGACAGGGATAAGTGACACGCATCCTTTGTCTTTCCTGGTACGTCGGTACCATAGCTTGATTGCAAAGGACTGGATAGTCCGAGTTACACATGTGTATAGGGAGGCCAATTGTCTTGCAGATGGATTGACAAACTATACTTTCTCGCTTCCACTAGGTTATCATTTCTTTGATGTTGCTCCTATGGATGTAGTTTCTATTCTGAACGAGGATGAGCTTGGGTTCACACGGCCTATGCGAGTTTTTCCTGCGTTTTTGTTCCATGGATTCTAGTTTCTACCATATATAATGGCCAGCTTTGTTAATGTAGTTAATGTAGGTTACTACAATTATGTCTCTCTTTTTGCCATTATTTATGTTATGTCTATCAAAATCAAAATTCAGCAAATAATTATCAATTTCAAATACAATCGAGTCACACATGTTTAAGGGTTTTCTGCAAATTAACTTACAAACTAAATTAAATTTATAAATTAAAGCGAGTTTTTTTTAGTGCAAATCAAACCCACCAATTTCAAAGTCACCTGTTACAAAACTAACAACCTAGACATAACACACACGATTAATACTACAAAATATGCAACATGCTACGAAGATGCCATTGTCTATCTTCCTTATGTCGGAAACATCAAAAAGAGCATGATGGCCGGTCTTTTCATACAAGTCGACGATGTGAACTTCCCAATGCGAGAGGAGTGGCTGGTTTGCTGTGAGGAGGCGAGATCGATCTATATCTCAAAGAAATCATCTCAAAAGCATCAGTATTTTAAAGTTTTGATCACTAAATTTTTTGTTACAAAAATCTTGTCTACATATCTTGTATTTGTCTCCCATGAAACTAATTCTATTAGGCATAAAGTAAAAAAGATATTCTAGAAATTTCGCTCACTCGTTACATGAATGTAGACAAATTAGTATTAGTTACATACAGTTATACAGATGGTTCATATTTTTCGAGTGTTATATGGAAAGGGTCATTTTTATTTCTTTTTGAGTTCATATTTTTCGAGTGTTATATGGAAAGGGTCATTTTTATTTCTTTTTGATTAAGTGGCAACTGGCAAGTGGGTGTTTTTTGTTTTTTGCTATTTGGTTTGTTTTGCGTCATATAATTTGAGTGTGAGCCTCCATCATGTTTGGGGCTTTTAGTTTATTCGTAACATCGACACTTTTATAATTTTCCTTTTTATTTATTTATTGACTAATTGATATCTTGTCTTTTCTTCATCTCATGATAGTGAATATTACTACATTTGGCTTTTCTGATACAATCAATGAGTGCATTGTTTATTCCCAGTGATTCCCGCGAGACTAAATCAACCCACTCGGTTGTTTAATAATTACAAAGTGTTTTTTTTGGGGGGGGGGGGGGGGGGGTTGAATTGAATCGTTTATATTTTACATATAATTTGTAAACAAACATATGCAATATGGTTTGATATTTTGAAGAAAATATATTGATGTGATTAAAGATTGTAACCAAACCTATTAAGTCTTTGAAACATGTTTAAGTTCATTGGCCTCATTGTACTTTTGTGTCATGATCAGTATTAGTGACTTCTAAAATTCACAGGTCAAATCGAATCCGTCTATATATTCATATCTTTGGTTCTATCTGCAACATAATTTTTGAGGGAGATTGAAATTGATGGATATTAACTAAAGGAAGAGTTTCTAATATGAGATTACT